ACTCCCCTTCGCAGCCTGGCTACAGCACAGGGGTGGCACTCCATGGAAATATGGATGCCAAAACCGGCGGCAAAGCAACGAATGTCACAACTATGCCCACACGACAGGGGTGAAATCTGATGCCGAAACTGGTGGCAATACAAAGAACATCACTCTTATGCCCACACGACAGGGGTGGGCTTTGGATAGCCTGGCAATCATGAGAGTGACGAACCTGGCAATCATGAGAGTGACGAAATGTTATGATTAGTTGTAATCCTACACCCCACCCATTTAGTAACTTGAATTTATTTGGTGTTGGTTGTGATGTGTTTTGTGGAACTCGTTTGTTTGTGCTTTACGATAGGGAAGGCACCTTGACACCTCGATGCCAAGCTATGCCAAAAGACTGTTTCACTCTGTGCTTTACGATAGGGCTTGAGAGCTAGATTCAGATGCCAAGCCATGCGTAAAGTCTGTTTCCACTGCAGAAGCGACTTTTCGGCATTGCACCTCGCTGCTTTTCTCCCCGCTGGCCTGAGCACGAAGGCATCCAGCAGGAGTTTATTTCGTCGTCATGGACACGGGTCTGAATCCTCGCTCAGCTGCTGGGATGACGACATCACATGAGTGACCCTGCCTTTCCGCCTTTCCGATTCCGGGAGCAGCCATACAGAAACTAGCGCCCTAATCTGACAGGTAGTCTCCAGCCACATCTAGCCCCCACATAGCCACTCGCCTCGCCCGCGGCGCGAAATGGACTGTCTGGCAACCTTGGCTCCTGGCTTTCTGGGTAGCGTTGGACTTCTAGCTTCACCGGGTGTAATACTAGAAGAGTACTCGTCGCACGTTGCGCATCGCGTATCATCGTATTCGGCAATCACAGGTTGGACATGAAGTAGAGCTACGACACCACATGGCAGACTCGCACACTTTTATCGTTCCGAGATCAGACCCTCTTAGCCCTTCTCAGACAACCGCATGCAAGGGATCGCCTCCTCCTCCGGCACGCCGTGAGCTACGGCCTGACATTTTTGCATGGGTTGTATCCAAAAAACCCCACCTTCCCTCTCGAGTCTCGAGATACGGCATGACCAGGCCAAGGCGATGCCAACATCTAGGCTGTCTCATAAGGAAAAAGCCACACCGCTACTGTGAAGATCTGCACGGCCTCCGGATCCGTGCGGAGTCTCCGCACGACGACGCTTCATTGTGCCAAAGTAGTCGTTATGTCGGACAGCTGCGCTGATACCATGATGGATGCCTAGTTCCTTGTTGGGATATCATGCTGATGTCTTGCCGCACCTTGACACGCAACACCTGCAGCCAAGTTTGTAAGCTCGAGCGCGAAAAATCATGAACAATGCCAACAGCATAGTCTCAGTGACAGTCGACGCACTGAGGTGTTTGTGCTAGACTGGTTTTTTTGGCAGCATTCAAAGCTCTGGCAAATTGAATGGAACACATGCCCCGAGAGCATTGAATCCAGTCGGAGCAGCATGGGTCAACACCTGCTGAAGTGGCTGAATTGTGAAAAGAGAGAAAGGCATCGAAAGCAACGAGTACAAGACCTTGCACCAGAAGATATTCTCCTGGAGATGCCGAAGAGGTGTGACCTCTCTATCCTGTAGCTCCATGGTGCTCAGCGTGAGCAGAAACAGCACAAACAATGAGAGCGCAAAGCAGCTCACGTCGTATCTTAGAAGCATTGCAAGTCGACCGCCTCGACCGCCCTTGCCATCTTTCGACTCTGTTACGGCTCGGGGTTCAAAGCCCGTTGCAGGTCGACTTCTTCCTAGTGCTGCTACTCGCTTCTCCTCGCGATGCTCGCGGGAATACGGAAGTGCTAGAAATGCGATCCAAACTAGAACAATGCTACCCAAATAGTCGGCCATTGCCCCAGCCAGCGACGAGACCCTGCCCGGGCCATGTTCAGAGATGCATTGTCCAAGGTCGGCGTCGTGCCAGGTAAAACATTTGAAATATATCACTGCCCCCTGCGACATGGAGACCAGGCCACCAGTGATGAACTGTGTGCCCTTGGACAACAAAATGAAGTTGATTAATTGAAACTCATCAGGTGGCCCTGGGAATAGAATGAAGGTCAAGATCAAAGACAGCACGCTGACCCGGAAACCAGCGTTGGGGACAAGCATGATCAGGGTCAGGGCGACGTACACCGGGTCCGTCAGCTTGCCAAAGAGGGATCGATCGTATGGGAGATAGTGTCTCAACACCGTTCGCCGAAGCCAGCAGTAACAAGACCAAGACGAGCTGGGACCGGACTGCTCCTGGCTTCGAACCAAAAACTCAAACTTGCTGCTCTTTCCAAGCCCCGTTGCTTCTGCCTCTCACACGTGCGGCTGCTTGCCCTGGCTTGCATCCCCTATCTATCGTCGTGGGACGTTGCGAGATGTTTCTGCATTCTGCCTGGCCCAGCTAGGCACGTTCTGTTGATCGGTGGGCTCCTCTTGACAAAGAAAGGCCTTCGACAAACAATTCGGAATGGCACGAAAGGATGGGCAAAGCATAGTGGCGCAAGAGACCGGAAGACTGCGGCTTGCCCAATGTTTATGAGGCTCATTCTCGTTTTAGACCTGGGATGATTGCGTGAGTTGAAAATTGATTATCCAGGGTCCTGACAGTGGCAGGGGAGGCTGGCATAAAACTTCTGGCTTCCTGCAACATGCACGGGGAAGGAGCATCCTAGAACTCGAGGCTGTTTGTCGCTTTGGGATCTTAGAGATCTTCACTTTCCGAACCCTGAAACGGCATGCCCCTCTCCTGGCATTCAGCTGACTTCAGCAATGCCAACTCCACATTGAGCTCGATTTCCTTCTCCACATCCTCCCAAATGATGTCTATCACAGACTCGTAGCAGCCCTTGACACAGTCCCACATATCTGGATCTGCAGTGGCTCGCTCCTTCATGAGCTTGCGCAGTTTCTGCATGAATTCAGCTCGAAGTGGTGCCGAGGTCTCCAGAAGCTTCAGCTTCGCATGCTCTCTCAGCAGCGACGTTTCTTTCGTGTGCTTTCCCAAATGCTTCTCAAAGGAGTTAAGACGCCCAGCAACTCGCTTGTCAAACTTGTTGGTCAGCCTTGCAGAGCTTGACGTTGTGTGGGCCTGAAGCAATGTTCGAGTTGCCAATGCCAGATGACGACTCTTCTTCACAAGCCTGTGCTTCATATCGGCCCAGAACAAGTTCTGGACCGCCTTGCCAACGATGCGCTTTTGGGGAGGAGAGTCGGTGTCGCTCGACTCTGCGTCCGATTCCACCACACCCTCTTCCGACATGCTGTTGACTCAAATATCGCTCTGGAACGGAATGGCAACTGCCAGGTTTCACTTCGGAAGTGTCGCTCTAACAGACGCTCTTCGAAATTGCGTCTGAGGTGCAATTGAATGCATGTTCCAAAGCTTGCCAGCAATGCATGATAAAGGTCTCTTTTCTAGAAGTATCCTGGACATGGAATGGCATGATGGCCAGTCTTGTGTCACACAAAAGAAGCCGATGCACGCACAAACTCGCCGAGTGCCCTTGCAATGTTCTTTTGATGACTTGCGAAGTCGGCTTAGGATCACAGGGCTTCGTTTCCCTACGTGGAAACTGCTGTAGCAATGCTGACAGTAATTTACTAGTAACTGAACCGCGGCTAAAGAACATGGCGTCGTGGGAATTGGAATGCTTGCGGCCTGCGCTCGTCTGCACGCTATTCTACGAATCTCAAATGCTAGAACATCCGCGGCCCAGCAGCTCACACATCTTCTGCTGCTTCTCCTGAGGCACTCAAGCTGCATTCAGGCGTTACTGGATCGCTTGTGAAAGTGTTTGTGCAACCGAAGCCAGCCCGGCCAGGCTTTCGAACTTTTCCCCGAATGCCGTCTTGCCGGCTGTCCTTGTCAGGAGCCTACCTTCACCGGTTTCGGTTGCGCTGTTGCTAGTTCGCGTGCTTGTGCTGCACGCCGCTCCCCTCACCCCTCCCCCCACCCCTCGCCCACCCCACCCAGTGCTTCTACTTGGCCAAGGCGAGAAGCAGCCCTGCATCCTAAGAGCGACGATGATGCCAGGCCTCATTTGTCATCTTGTCGAACTCGTCGTTCTTTGCCTTTTGTTTCTCGATTTCCTTTGCAAGCTTGGACATCTGCTTATACTTCGGATCATCTGGATCTACGATGGTGGACTCTCCGATGTCAACAGGTTGCCAATCTTCGCTGATGGATTCTTCCGTCTCGATCTCGCCCGGCATAGACTGCTGTGTGGGCAAGTTTTGATCGCCGCCAGAACTTGATGCACGCTTTGCCCACGCAACATCTGGGATAGTAAGCAGCACCATACCTCCGAGGACATCTCGTCGCCCCGGTCGCCCAACGTCTGCCACCAGATTCTTCACCGGCTGGGGGTCAAGGAAGCTCGGAGCGATCTTCCATCCGCAGAGAAGTGTCGACAGCAGCAGCACGCCCTTTCTGGAGCGCCTCTGCATCCGAAGCCACGCTGCCTTCAATGCCTTCAAAGGAAGTTCCCTCGTGTTTGGTCCGAGCCCAAGCTTCGGCAGGAAGCGGCTGCACTTTGATTTCCGTACGGAGCCGGACCTAAAACTCCAACACCCATGGCACTCGAGAACCTATTTTCCCGCACAGCAACCCATGGTACTGTGGAGACAAGTTTAACAATTTTCGAGCACGTTCCCGCGCTCCTCTACCTTGATGCAATCTCCCTGTCTGCGTCCTTTCATTTCCCCTCCGTTGTGCTGGCCTGAGCCAGGCTGACAGTTGTCGAAAAGAATCGGAATCGACACATCTGGCAAGGCCGGTGAGCTGCTCAGCAACAGCAGACGTCAATTCCAGTGTCCTCCAAATGGCATGCCTTTGACTTGGCTCTGCCACGCTTCGTCTGGGTCCGGTCCAGCACTTCGAGACTCCACGAACTTTGTTGCTGCATCGCGTCGTTCAGGTCTTCAGCTGCAGGATGGCACAGACCTGACAAAAAGCTGGGCACTGCGCGATCTGCTCTTCGGCTTCTATGGAGTCCACGCGCTGAGGCGCTCATGGGTCGAGCATCTCTCAGGCGACTCGAGCGTGCAAAGCGCCACGAGGGCTTCTTGTCGGACCTCCATTTCCTTATCGTCAAGACGTTCTCGTAAGCCAGACATGGCCTTCTCATTGCGAGTGGCCGTCGACGCCAGTACTCGGATCGCGGATTGCCTTGTTCCAGAGTTCATGTTCTCAAGATATGGCAAGGCCACATCGCAAACGCCATCCCTGTCGCTGTTTCTACAAAGGAGTTCCACAGCCGCCACTCTCACGTACGACTGCTCATGCGCAAGGTGTTTAGCCACGGTCTCCAAGAGAAACCGCTGTGTTGGAATGCCTCCGAGGACATCCACGGCCTGCTCCCGCACATCAGCACAGTCGTCCTCAAAGGGTGACAGCATTTTCTCGACATATCGAGTAGCGTCACTCGATTACCGAGAAAAGGAAAAAGACAGGCTGCTTGAAGCAAGTGTTCGTCCCTCGCCTCCAAACTGCCGCAGAGAGCGGCTATCGCTTCCAGGCTTCCTTGTTCTGCAAGACCACGTAGCGCCTGTATAGCCGAGATCCTCACAAAGGAGTCGGAAGCCTTGAGGACAGAGAAGGGAGTACAAAGGCTCCTTCAGAGATTCTTGAATCGTGACATGGAAGCAGCGTTGCAGCATGGTGTCTCCCATCCCGTCCTGCAAGTGCCTCTGCGAGCAGAAAGCACGCTCAATGCGGCAGGAATGTCGCTTGGAAGGCTTGGAAAGGTTGTCCGGTCACCTGGACGTTCTTGCATCTCGGCCATATTGCTGAGGGGCACGCAGTGGCTTGGGAGCAAGACGAGTATAGACTATGCTACTGGTATGTATCGTCTATGACATGGTGGACGTCGCATCACCTGTCTAAAATCAACGGCTGAAACCTGTTCATCCTAGTCCCATACTGCTCCATCTTATGGAACAGCATGCTCGAAACTACTCCCCCTTCCTGCGAATCCTCGCCTCCCAAAGGTTCTGGATCTTCAGCGGCCGTCTCCAAGATGATACAGACTGCTTTTGCAATGCCTGCACACTAACTGCACTGCTTGCTGAACAGGTTTGCGTGAGTAGCAAGAAACAAGACATTGCGAATGTCAACATGATGACTGGCTGGGTGCACTCGACTGATTTGTGATGTAACTGGGTTGTTGCATTCCTCAAGAAGCCATGTAAAGTCGCTGAGCAAGTTTCTCAAAAGTAGAATCGTGCAGCCCGGTGCCCTCGACTAGTTTGTGGTGCAAACGGTGTGTTGCATCCTTCAGGATACTGTTCCCGGGGAGTGGAGATTCAATGATACTGTTCCCCAGGAGTCGGAGAACCGCGAAAGGCTTCCGATCCAGTTTGGGCTTAGCTTCGGCTTGACATGAGTGGCCGGAGGCATAGTTGATGAGTTCGCAGCTTTGCACTGTCGCTTGCGGGTTTTCGTTTTGAAATGTTCAATCCTGTTGTCTTCTAGATACTCGTTTCTCGTGCATCATGCTGTGCATCTGATAACTTCAGGTCATTCTGGTCCCCTGCTACCTGCTACCTCCTTGTCAACACAAGCTGCGCCCGCAGGCACCAACCCAGCCTTCTGCCATCAAGTGTTGTCGAAGGTGCTGCAGGAGCTCTTGCGTACGCCCGGTGCAATCGTGCACTTCAGGCTCTTCAGCTTCGCTTGGAGAGAAGTTCTCCACGGTTTCAAGATGGACATCCAAAGCATGCGAGATGTCCCGAGATGAAAGAGACAGCAGCTGCCTGGCTTTGGCGATTTGCTCGCTCGTTTGTATATCTTGATCCCCGTCAGCCACACACATGGCCAATGCAATGCTTGCCAGAGGATGTGCCTGCGCCCCCGCTCCGTGTCCCAGAATATCCACGCCGGCCTGTCGACAACTTGGCGACGGACTTTTCAGTGCCTGCACTGCTGCTACGATCGCATCTCGATCGCCCAGCTTGGCCAGTGCAGCTAGGATTTCCAATCCTGTTTCTCTTTTCGAATCCTCACCCTGCAGCCACAAGGCTGCACTGCACACCACTCGCATATGCCAGCGTCGGGCGACATCTCTAACGTGCAAGGATGCGTCTTCTAGGCACCCTCGCAGTGCAATTGCCGCTTCTCTGCTGCCACGCAAAGCGCCTGGGATCCGAGTGCGGTCAGACTGAAGGAAACTGTGTGATGTTCACGCTACCTCCACGTTGCCCTGCAGGTAGCAAAATGCAACCACATTGCCAGTGCCCAAGACCTCCACAGCCCCTTTGCGGACAAAGAACCTTGCAGGTCTGTTACATCACCAAGGTTCGCAGATGGACAATGCACTACAACAAGAAGGAGCTTCGATTGGAACTACAAGTCTTGGAAACCATGGCAAACCCTGCTGTTACAGCATTGCTTGGCCATGCAGCCGATCATCTCGCAGATGGCCGAGCGCAGCATCCAAAGCATCACCGGCACAGTGGCCAGCGCAACAACGCCCCAGAATTTGAACCGCTAAGCACCTGCTCCACTCCCAGAACCGTCACAGTGCATGGCGCAGTGCGTAAACCGTTGGTAAATCAAGACGTCCTGCCTTACATGCTGTCTCGCATCATCCAGCCATGCATTTGCGATCATGATAGGTGCCATGTTTCCGGAAACACCCAGCTGCGCCAGCACCTTTTGCAGCGCAAGACTCGGGGGTAACGCGAATGTCGCACTTTCAAAGTCACTCTGAGGCGCCTCCGCCGCAGCCACCCTGGCACGATCTGGACTGCGAAATGTAACGTCTAAACTTATCGTAAAAATCAACCAGCAGAACCATTGTGCAGGGAGGAATTTTGGATGCAACACCTGGGAGTGGGGGACGACGGAAGACAGAGAGAGGGAGACTGAGAAAGAGAAAGAGAACGTCAAACACGAGACATCGGCCAACAGGAAGCCCAAACAGGTGTGACTGGGTGCCTGGGTGGAGAACGCAAGCCAAGGCATTTTCCAAGATCTAGCCCTCCAGTATCAATGCCCAAAAGTCTTCCATAAAGTTACTCATGCAGCTTCAGATGTGCATACTAATAAAGTCTAAAGACTCTACACATATGATGACATATGTTTATATATATAGTTATATTTGTAGATATCGGTGTGTGTGTGTACATATTATGTATATAACATATATCATATATCTATACATCTTTCTACCCTTCGAACACTCACGGAGCAGCACGGCGATCGCATATTTCTCACGACAGCGACATGGGGTACGCCGCACGGCAACCGATCAATGGATAAATCCAAAGATCGTCCGATCGCTGGCATGCAAATCCGAGCATCCGGCTGACACAATCAAGCACCATTGCACTTGCAAGCGATCAGAACCGTCATCATTCTCCTAGGCCCTACAACCCGAAAAGACGTGCAACCTGAGAACGGATCCATCCACACGTTAGCCGCGATTCGAATCGGTTGGGACACGATCGATGTACACCAAGCATCTGAGCTTGAGCACGAAGTCCCAGAAGATCGGAACGCGCTCACAAGCATCTTCTTTGGCTGAATAGCCCTTGGTGAAAGATGCCTCGACCGGCTCGGAGTCCGAAAAACGAACACCAGCTTCCCTTGACTCTTGACGAGGATCCTGACAACTCTCGATCGCAGCCACGGCAGAAGCTCGACCATGCAGATCTGCGCCCCCGGCGTCCCCCGGGGAAACCACCACATGATCACCAGCGAGACGGCATACGAGAACTTGCGGAGGATCATCACGGCAGAAGACAACCTCTCAAATCATCTCGATCTTAGGATTTTCGAGGCTCACAGTGGGATTACAATGAGCATGGGCGGGAGATCCGACTGGGGCGTTCGGACCGCACACACAGATCTGGCCTATGTTGCTGGGAGGCTCACTTGCCTCGCAACTTGCCTGCATAAGCTGAGGACTGCCCCTAGTTTCGATCTCAGCGAGGAGCCCTTGCCGACTCGCTTTCTTGATCATAAGCACGAACTGTGCAAGATCGTATGTGGCCCCAAGGATCGTTGGGTCGGGGCACGCTTGCAGCTTCTCGGCATCATAGCCAGCACCCAGCCGAAAGTAACGCTTTCAGCGATCGAAAAAGCGGACTGGGCTGTCTCCTCGATCTTAAACTTGTCATCACAAACTTGAGAGCTGCAACTTTGAACAGGCGCCTGAGCACATCAGCGGTCGCAGCCGATCGTCGTTGTAAACCGCCCGCCACCAATCCGCACGAGCGGCCGACCATCTAGACCACGCTCCACCTTGTGAGTTCCACTCGGCACCTGTCGGTATGCTCCCTTCTCATCCAGCACCAATCCAAGCTAGGAGATCTCGATCTGGACACCTGGATTTCAACCACGATCGCTTGCCCGAGCTTCTCCGCGACCACCGTCGCCATGTTCACCCCGTGCTCAGCAGAAACCTCCTCGATCGAGTAGAAGCTCGCGCCACAAGAAAGATCCGAGTTGCCCTGGCTGAGCTGCCTTAGGGCAGGATCCTGAACTTGTCGCAAGTCACGACCGGACTCAGGCATGAGATGGATTCAGATAGATCGCATGTTCCCGCCAAAGCTGTTCCTCATCTGTCCGATCGGCAATCAGTTTATTAGGGTCTGCCCGGCTGGACTGGGAGACCTCGACCAGGTAGGAGTCGAGATCCGCATCGACGGTGAACGGCTTAACGTTAACGACGATCGGCTCATGAAGAAAGCGCCTGCTTGTCTTCGTGAACAATGCGAAAGTCGGCGATCGCCACTCGCTCCCCAGAACGTCGCCCGTCTGCACTTGGGGAAGTGCGAACTGGAGGGTCTCGAACATGCTACGAGGCCTACTCGATCGCCAACGCAAGGCTCGGTGACATGGAGGTACCGCTTGGGATCGAAAACAATAATCACCTCATCTTGGGAAGCAAAGATCCATGCACCGAGTGGTTGTCAATGACACGAACGTCTTGCCACAGTGGGTCTCGATCCATGTGCCACCATCTGAGAAAAAGCTCTGTTCCAGCACTATGTTCGGCAAGTCGTGGTTGCATGTAGGAGGCGACCTTATAGCACACCGCGACGGAAGTGAAGTGGTGTGGTCGGCAATGTGAATGCACATTCTGGGACCTCGATGGACGCCAGCGCTTCTCGACCAGACATGCGGAGACCTGTGATGCCTCCACGTCGGCACACGCCGGCAACGAATGCGCCGTCACAAGCGTTCGTCAGGCTTTACACTGACCTGCGTAGAAGTAGATCCACCATAGGGAGCACAGCACTCCAATCGAGACTGGAGCGATCTCGCCAAGGTTTCCAGCTGATCTGGGACGGGGTTCTCAGAGAAAGCGATTACTTGGACTTTGGGGCCCCTAGAAGGTAAGTTCTCAGTGGTTCGCGATCATGGGGTGGGCCTCGCCACACATCACGCACAAGCGCTTGAACCACCAAGCGCGGAGTTGTAGTAGTGGCAGCGGCGAGCGACGTTCGCGCTCGCAGCAGCCTCGCCATTCGGACTAGGAACTTGTTAGCTGGCTTCTGCTTCGGTGGATCCACCTTATCCTCCTGCAGGCCGCTGAGACGGGTTCTTAGGCGGATTTGGAACTTCCTCTTTGACCTGATCTTGGCCGGGGTTCATTGACCTGTTGTTCCAAACAATCTTGTCGATCACTCACGTCCAGGAAAGCCTGGGAACAGGTTGCATAAGTACCCGTGTGCTTTGACCTAAGTCGATAGACCTTCTTCCTGAACGCCGGATCGGTCAACGTGAAAGGGCTGCCAGGGCATTCGGATCGAAACTACTCGAGCTTTTGCAGGTGCTTCAAGGGTCTTTCAGTACGCGAGAACGCGCGGATGTTCAGCCACTCGAGCACTATGAAGAAAGTGTGCAGCTTGTGAAACAGAGTCGCAACAAAGTCGTGACATCCGTTACCGGCTCGGGCTCATCCACCTTTGCAATAAACAGGAATCTTCCGTATCCTGTGTGAGACCAGCCTTCTTTAACAACACGTCCGAGCGGGCTCGTCGTAGAGCGGGACGATTCCGTGGATCATGATCTTCTTGAGATAGCTCTGGGATCTTACTCGGGTCCGCCATGCCCTGCTCGGCAGGACGCGTACTGCGGCTGCAGTTCTTGTGCGGCCTGCTATATGCAGCAGCGCGCCATGAGGCGCGTCCATGTCGGCTTCCGATCCTCTGTGAGGTCTGTGTAATTCTCTGTATAACGGTGTTCAGATCCTGGCCGGTCATGCAGACCAAACACGTCGACCGTCAGCAGGCCCTTGTCACACCATGGTTTCCTTTTAAAGCCGTACTTTTGAGTTTTGTGTTTGTTTGAAATTCTCTGATGTTAGTAGCTGAACAAACACCTAAATCCTCACAAGAAGATGATGATGAATGGCAACCCCAAAACCCTCCAGAAACTCGAAACCCCGAAAAGAGGGACTGGTGGCAAACCAAAAGCCGTGCAGGGAGTGCCTGGTTCCCGAACAACTTCCCTCCAACCGCTAATCTGCGGACAAACCCGAAAAGGCGTGGCTGATCCGGAGACACCATAGACCGGCGAGGGGCGAGAGCTCTGACAACCGAAAACCCTCATGATAGGACGGTGACCCCCAAACCCGCAATGGAGTGCTGCTTCGGAAAACCCTGCACACAAAGCGGATGATCAACGTCAGCCCCGCCAAAAAGATGGGTGCAAAATCGCAAATGCAGTGGAGATGTCGGCCTTAGATGGCTTTTGCATAGGGATCGTCTTGCATTTCCTTATGCTCACGCCGATATCTCATCGTCAAGTTCTCGGATGTATACAATGCAGACGAACCCATGCCTCGTGTATGTGGTGTCGAACAGCTCAAACCCGGAGTGGAAAATTGAAAACTCGAAACCCTACAGACCCTGCAGCAAAACCGCCTCAGCCCAAAAAGGAATGGGGGAGGGGAATGTCAATCCCTAAGAGCAGAATGTCAAGATGTTCTTGATTCCGGTGCGTCCCAGGAAGACTGGACGCATCGGTGCCTCACGAACGGCCGCTCGTCTTGCAAGCAGCAGCTCAAGATGAAGCATGCCTCACTCAGTGTAGGTACTGCAAACCTCGCAGCGTGCTCTTGCGACTGCAGTGCACGCGCAACAACACATTGCCGAGTGTCCGGGAGATGGGAATTCGTGGAGGTTAAGCAGTCGCTCAGAGCTGTGAAGGTACATTTCCGGATGTCGTAGTCGTCGTCTTGCAGCGCAAAGGTCAACGCAGCCAAGGCTTCCTGGCGACATGGCTACTAACATCAGGAAACGATATCATCAAAACCCGGACCGAGGAACAAACTCCCAGCAACGACAGAAACAGTGGCAATGGACTGCCAAGGCCACAGCCCATCTCGTAAGTCTCTCAACCCGCGTCATTCCGGATCTGGGGGAGCGAGCTACCCCGCACGCATCCAAACACACGAAACGAAAGAGACTGTCAAGGCAGTCAGGGAAATGTAGACAATTCTGCTTAACCCAGGTCCTGGTCCGCAGCTGCAGCATGTGGAGAAAGCTCTGAGATTGCAGACTGCTTCAAGAAGGCAGTGGTTCGTTGTTGGCCAGATCTGACTTTCAACCTTGCAGTTTGAACGATCGCGTGCACGCTGCTGAGTCACCTCCTTCTTTTTCGATCAAGTGTTTGCACATGCATGTCACTGCATATCTGCCAGCTTGAATGTTCAGGGGATCTTTAGGGAAAGGCAAGCGTTAGGCGACTTTGGTGGTAGGCCGAAGTCTTGTGCCAAACAGGCGAGGCAGAGGCCGCGACACGAACATTTGCGAAAGCAAAACCAAGCAAGTCTTGGACCAGCTGATTCTGTGTCTTCGTCACTGATGTTGACCATTGATGCATCCGTGCAACTTGTCATCGCCAGCGCATGGCCCGCGGCCTCATCTTTCAGCTTGTGCAGAAATCTGCAAGACCAGACACTTCAATCCGCCAAGTCTCGCAAAATCTTCAGGGCTGCATCTCGCTGCATGAGCTTCGAAAGCTGCGGCGGGACGGCAGGGCAGCGTTACATTCCACAGCGACCCCCGAAGATCACGAAGGACATGTTCCAGACTAGCTCGCACGTCTGAATGCACTTCTCTTTCGAGCAAATCATGCAACGTCGAGGAGGCAAAGCCGGCATTCCATGCAAAAAGCAGACATTCCTCTCCAGTCTTTGACGCAGATAGGCCCTCCCAAACCTTGCTATGCAGCCGGAACTTGCAGAGGATGTCAGCAGTGAAACCGCGCGCATCACTGCCTTGAAGCACTTGCCTCTAGCATTAGGCTTTCGCTGGCACACGTATGCTCAGCTCATGCCGCTTCTTGCTGAACCTGGCGGCTGAACTCAAGTCAAAACGCTCGTTGCGGACAGAAGAAACCCTTTTCTCTAAATGATGCGCAAGAAAGGACCATCAGTCGTCTCGGTGCCCTCTCAGTCTAGCTCTGGTAGTGATACCATATCAACGAGCTCGCGCGGCGTGCGAGATGATGCTCTGTATGGTACGTGCAACGATGTCGACTTCGGATTCATCGTTGTAGTAGGATGGGCTTATCCTCACGGTGGAAGGCAGACTCCAATCCGCATCGTTAAAAGTGTGAGAGGATGGCGACACTGATACGGCAATTCGCTGCTCAGCAAGAGCATCCTTTATAAACTCAGAAGTGACTCTGAGGTCCGGGAATGCCTGGAAGGTCACAATTCCACATCGCCTTGTTTCCGGGCTTTCAGCATCCTCGTTGAAGCTCTCCGGAGCATCACAACAGCGAATGCCCTCGATGCATCCCAACTTCTGTCGTAGAGATCGTGCCAGGTGACTTGCCCTTTGCTCAACCTGCTGCGGGCCCATGCGGCTGCACAGCATAAGTGCCTCTTTCAAGCCCACATGCAGTGCAGGTGCAGACTCCCACATCTCATATCGCTGGGCGGTAGATGCCAGCTCGTATGAGCATCGCTGTGTCCAACGCACCGAGACGTGATCGATCATGGCAGGCTCACCCACGAGTTCGCGCTCAGACCGCTCAGAGGCCCGCGTCGACTGGGGCAGAGCGCCTGCCCGAGCGTAGAGAAACCCCGTGCCACGCGGGCCTCTCAGCCACTTGCGACCAGTGCCGCAAGCAAAATCACAGGACAATAACCGCACATTAACGGGTATCTGTCCGATGGATTGGCAAGCATCAAGCAGGAAGACAGCACCATGCTTGCGAGCAAGTTCGCCGACGGCGGCTGCAGGTTGTACTATCGACGAGTTTGTTTGAATGTGTGTCAAAGCCACCACAGAGCGTGCAGATGCAGGCATAGATTTGAGTGCGACGTCAAGGGCAGCTACATCCACGATGCCATCAGTTCGCATCGGCAATATTTCGAGCTCGAGTTTGTGTCGCCTAGCAGCCTGCAGAAATGCGACTGCATTCCCTGCATATTCACTTTCCCAACAGAATATCCGATCACCCTCTTGGAAATCTAAGCTGTAAAAAGCTTTCGCCCAAGCGGCCTGTGCGGACTCGGTTAAAGCTATTTCTGTTTCGTCACAGCCCAACAATTCTGCTGCCGCCCTGCGAGCAGCCTGCCTTGCATTCGCTGCGGCTTCTGCTGCGTAGCCTCCGACTTGGCGCTCCAACTCGAGATGAGCCACGATGGCATCATGGACCACGTCCGGCATGGGCGAAGCGCCAGCTGCATTCATGTGAATCCAACCTGTCCTTTTTGGCGGCCCGGAGAGGCCGCGGAGGCCGAAGCATCCGGCCAGGCAGCCGCAGTTTCGGAACACTGCGAGGCCGGAGCGCATTCTCCTAGATCTAGCTCCCAATCCAAAAAGGCTGCTAGGCTGATCCCTTCTAGGCGATGTGTCTGGAAGCGTCGAGCTGAGGCTGCGGCTTGGCTTTGGCACCAGAAGGCTCAATGAGAACCTCCGGCTGTAAGCTTTCTTGCCTCTGGCCGGTATCAGCTGTGCCCTGCACCGGAAAAGGCCCTGCATTGATGGCATACTTGGGCGCAGGGTCCTGGCGTAAGGAGGGTGCACATTGCACATGCACTCTCCCAAGGACCAAGGCCGGAGCCAAGGTGTTCAGCCGCAGGTGCTTCTCCGCAATGTCCAAGACCTCAAAAGTGGGTCTTTTGCGGCAGCGCATCGCAAACCATCGCAGATCATCGCAGCGCAGATGCCGTGTCCAAGCGGCGATGCAACCCATGTCGCTGACACCCGGCAGCTCGCAAACAAGCTCCATCCCCTGAGAGCTATACGAAAAACAGAGAAAGATAAGAAAACCGACTGAGGCAAGGGCCTGGTATCTGCCTTCAAAGTCTTTCTCATATTGCAGTCGATGTGTGGGAAGGATCACCTTGCCCGATCTTCTGCGATCTTTGAAGCCCCCTTTCAGCCTAAGCCCTCCCAGCGGCCTGTGGAGCGTCTGGGACCGACTTCGACTTCGGCACGGAGCCCACCTGACATTCCGGACGGTCGCAGCGTGCAATGAGCAGATTCGCGAGCCAGGGGCCTCCAACGCTACTCACTGCTAGTCTACTAGTGGTTGCGGCACCTGATGGTCTTATTGCCTTCTGCTCTGGAATCCTTTGCTGCACCCCATGGATAGCATTCAGGGATCGACGCATTCGACAAAACGGCACGAGGGGTACAAGAACTTCGAGCCTTCTTCTCACTGCCAGAGGTATCATCGCCACAAATGCCTGACAGGACTTGCAGACGTCAAACTCAGCTTCAAGGGAAGCCGAGCTGCGCAATCAAGCAAGCGCCACGAGTGTGAAGTTCCTCCGCACTTTTGATGGCTTGTTCTGCTCCGGCTAGCCTTGGAAGCAAACAAGCGGCACCTTGAAGCTGGTTTCAGAAAGCTGTTCAAGCAGTTCGAAAAGCCTTGCCTGACCACAGGATGTTTCGAAGAGACAAGC